CAATCAAGTTGACATGCACTATTAACTATCACACCATATATCCAAATGAAAGAAAATGTTCCTTTCAAACTCTATTACTCTAAAATTGCATTTTTCCAGTGTGTTCAGTGACTGATAATAGGCAGTAGGTAAATACATGTGAGCCAATCTGAGTTAAATGTGTTTCCTGACTATTGGGCTTTACTGTTGGTCTTAAATATGCTTATTACACTAAGACACTCTAAGAGGGAGCTGGTGTGTCCAACGACCCCAAAATTGTCTATCCAATGAATCCCTTTTAATTGAGCATGTTTTTGGTGTGCAAGATAAAAACTCAGATATGAGGCCCTGGAAAGATGCACTGGTCTTTACTTGGAGGTCCCCACCAAAGGCAGTCAATACTTTATCTTATCTTTCTGTCCTGGGGGCCATATGGCTTCATGGGTAGGGGAAGGGGTAGAATAATATTTGTTTTTAATTGAAAAGAGAGCATAATACAAAGTCTAAGGTTAAAACTTATCTGGTAGTTTATAGTATTCATTCATCATCCATCCATCCACTGTTTGATTTATCCATTCTCTTAAATCCTGCTGTACATAGAAAATTAGGTTTGAACTTGTTTATACTCCTAAATAGTGGTATGCTTAGTTCTAGTAAAAGACACTACCAAGCATAATAGAAACATTAAGAAGGGTTGAGAGAAGAGTTACATTCATGTATTAGAACACTGGAAAATGAGGGCTCTGCGTAACAGTTTCATGTAATTAACCGAATTATTCCAACTGGAGAAACAAGAAAAAAAAAGCCTAAATGCGTATAGGTTTCTTCAGCCATTCCCTGAACAAATATTGATAATACCTACTCTACAAAGGCAGTGAGCTATTTTAGATCTTAGAGATTGAACTGAAGTCTGAAGCAGAAGAAATGAACTTAACAATTATAAGAGTAGAAGCAATTGTTATTATTTTGTATTCATACAAAACGGATGCCAATATGGGTTGGAGGGTAGGGGAAGGGGTGAAAAGGTACAGTGCGTTTTTACAGATGTGGTATCTTTTGACTACCTGGCTCACCTCTTGTTCTCATTACTTTCTAGGACTGTGACCTTCAGAAAGTCATTCAAGCTCTAAACCTCACTTCCCTTATCTGTAAAATGGACGTATAACAATAGTACCTACCTCACAGGGTTGTAGTCAAGATTAAATGAAATACAGTATATAAAGCACTTAGTTCAATGTATAGCTCCAAAACAAATAATAAATGTCATCACATTTCATGGTACAGTACCCAGAGTATATTTTATCAATAAACACTCAGGGTATCAATAACCCTGAGTAACATACCTGGTTAGTGTATGTTCATTCTTCTAAAAGAGACTGATGATGTTTAGTGAGCAGAAATTTTATTTATAATTATTTAGGTAAAAGCCCAACCATTTGAATATTCTATAAGCTGGTGGTTCTCCTACAGGCACCTGTCTATTTTTGCCATAAAGCTTTCTTTCAGATGCCCCAATTAATGGCTTGTGGTCACCAGATATTTTCTTGCTTTTTGGTTTAACTTTCATAGACTTCAAATGAGAAGCTGCTACCTCTAGATCTCCTATTGTATAAGCTAAACTATATTTTCTCTAACTAAAATGTCTATTTCTTATTAAGTAAAGCAGCATTGAGACTGGAGGGCTTGGGTTCTGGAGTGAGACATGTTGTGATATTTGTCAGTTGCTAACCACTCACAGCCTCATTTTAAAACAAGGAAAGGTGACATTGTAGCTAAGACATGAGACTCGAATAACAATAAGAAGCCAGCCATTCAGAGATCTTGGGTGGGAGGGAGAAAAGGTGGACAATGACAAATCCAGAAACAGTAGGTGCAAGTACCCTCAGGACACAACAAAGATTGTTCACAAAAAAGTGAGAGAGAGAGAGAGAGAGAGAGAGAGAGAGAGAGAGAGAATGGTTTGGCTATAGGCATTCCACAGCTGAAAGTTTATGAGGAAAGATATATATCTTATACTTTGTATTAAGCTGCTCCAACTTCTAGCATGCTGACATAATTTGCTGAAAAATTGATTCTCTCTCTGCTAGAATTCATTCCTACATTTAACCTATTTTCTTATATTTTTAACCATATGCAATCATTTTCCACTAAACCTCTGTGTACCCAAGTAATCTCACTCCCCACTTGATGTCTCTGGTTTCTAGCATTGTAACAGAAAACTATCATGACAGTCCCACAATAGCATTATATGTTATCACCTTTTTCCCCAGAAGCTAATTGTTCACCCCATTCACTGCTCTGCTGAACTTCCTCCAATTCATCTCTGTCTTTTTGTTGCTGAGCTAACAAAATGGAATAGCCTTTTCTCTAAGAACAGTATTACCAAAGAACAGACGGAGAATCTCCCCTGCATGTTTTACTTGGCATTTTTTTGTGCCTTTTCCCAAACAGTCTGTTTATTTTCTGTTACCTGATCCCATCACACAATCTAGTCTGCTTTTCTGCCCACTGCTCCTATGCCATTCTTGCAGCCAGCTTTCCAGGATTTGTCTTTCTCACTTAGTGTCTGTTTCTGAAATTCTCTCTCCACGTGGTGGTGCACTTTTTTGAGTTGAATCTCAATTTCAACTCTACCCATAGTTTCTGTCATGTTATGTCTGGAAGCGTTTCTCAATTATTTTTGTCTTCAGCAGTGTTTTAGGGAATCCAACCAACAATGCACACCTAATCCTAAATGAATAGAATCAGAAATTCTTAACTGTGAGCTTCCTAGAGCAAAAATCTATTGGAAAGGCAGCTTTTCCTGAGAATAGGTGAAGGCCAGAGGCAGATCGTATTGAGATGAACAAGACTCCAGGTGTGTTGGTATATGGGCCAGAGGCCTGGATTTAGGCTGTGACTCCACATTTCATGTGTCCTTGAGCCAGCCGTTCCTCCTCTCTGGTGCTTAGTTTTATCTTCTATGAAACAAGGACTGAAGCTATTCCTGGTCTTCAAACATCTTTTTAGCACTGGAAATTTTCTCAACACACACTTATATGGAGCACCAGTTGAATTTATTGGACAAAAATGGCACTTTTGGAATTTGGAATTGAGGACTACTCAGTCCATCCATCTGCTGATCCCCTGGATAGTCTTCTGTGGGTCCCTGGGAACCTTCAAAATACAATTTACAAACTCTTGGACTGGGTGACTCTGTAAGCCCCTTTCCACTCTCTGGACCTGTAAGTAGTGGGTAGTAGCTGGGAAAAAGAATTGTGCATAAATGAATACAAGAAAGGAATTAAAAGAAAGAGGAGGAAGAGGCAAACTAGCATGAGTTGAGTGTCTACTACATCCAGGCATTGATAAGATTGAGAGGGGTACACAGGCCTTCACGAACAGCAGATTCATGTGTATCCCCAACAGAAGTGTCTATCATCAGCGTATATCTCTACCTACAGATAAACCAAACATTTCTGACATGAAACCAGAATTATATCTTAAATATAATTAAGTATTCATATCTTTTCTTCTTTTATTACAATAGGCCATCCATCCTTCCCCACAGAGCATTACTGAGCATTCATGGTCGATGCAGCATATTCAGTAGCAGTTTATCTCAGACACGCATCTGTGGAGAGGCGGAAGCTACACGCATTTCTGAGAATCTGGTTTTATATGAAGACAAAGGTTAAAGTAGGACAGATGAATGATACTCTACCAAAGATTTTGAGTAGAGTGTTCTTAACATGCCCATTCTTCCACTAAGAGCAGGACAAAGGCAGGGGAGTTTTCTGATTTATCCCGATTGATCAGGATGCATGTTCTTGGCCTTATATGTATGATACACTATTGAAATAACCGGAGAAACCCTCATCCCACCAAGCATATATTCATAGAAAAATGAGACCACTGTTAGCTTAAATTCTGTTTTCTCAGAGAGGTCTTGATTGACTAGATGCTCCAATTTTAAGTTAGATCTTTCTGTTTTTTTTCTCTTTTTTACACAGTTACTTAGCTTCACAGAACTTATATAATTTTTAAATTATATGTTTATTGATTTAATATCTCTGTGCCTCTTCCAGTCTGCATGCTCCATGAAGGCAAAAATGGGGATGACTTTATTCATTTATTTTCTGCCTCCCCTCTAGAATATAAGCCTCTTAAAGATAGGGGTATGGTCATTATTCTTAGCATCTCTAGCTCCAGTGGCAGTAATGAGACAAAGAATGTCAGGTGGCCCAGTACTCCTTGATTTTGTGTGTGAGTGGGAAGTAGGGAGAGGTGCAGGCTTCAAGGACAAGTAGAATTTGGAGTTAAAATGTTGCTAAGAAAAATCTGACAGTGCTCACATGACAATATTTCATTTCCTTACTCTTTGCTCCATCTTTGCAGTTAGATCCACTCTTCCTAAGAGAAATGACTTTTCCCTTATAATAATATTATTAATAATGATGAGAGTTTAAACTGATGTCTGTTATTTATTCACCAGATACTAAGTATCAAATATTATCCTAAGCATTTACACCATTAATTTAATAACTTTTCTGCACGCTCCCAGGAGGCCAGAACAGTATCTGAGTCTGATTTACAAATGTAGAATAGGAGATTTCCTTGACCCAAATGTTAAATGAATCTTAAGTCAGAGGCAGACTCAAGTCATTACATGCATCTACTTTCTCCTAGCCCATATAGAACCAATTGTGTTCCATTTATCAAGAAAGGTGGGCATGTGAGACTTGGAACAGCAAGTAGACTTCATGCTTCACTGCAACTCCAATCATCTGGAAGCAAATATCTGGACATTTTGTAAGAATTGTTTATCTAAGCTCAGCGAGAACAAGTGCCTCTATTGATTAGCAGCAATGTTTACCACATACATGGATGAGGAGCGGCGGGGGTCATTCAATGTACTCATCAAACCTAGCCCTTCTGCAGAGAAAATGAGTTCTTCTTAATGCCCATGGAAAGAGCAAAGTTCAAACCCCATCAGTGCATAAGAGAGACTATAACATCAAGACTGTCTTTCTCCTTTCCAGAATTCCTGGCCAGAACTACAGCCACAGAACTACAGCTGGTGTGAGAAAAAGACGATGAAAAGGTGAGACCAAGAATGTGCAAATGAGGAGTTGAGAGCTGTTCCTCTCTCAACAGCAGCTCAGTGCTTCAGCCCATTATATTCTCTGGAAAAATTTCCCTGAACCCTTATCTAACTGGGTCTCACTTCCTGTTCTGTGACATTACAGGTTTTTATAGATTTACTCCATAGTACTAAACACAGTTTGTAATGATGTCAGTTTATGACCAGTTGAAACATTTATGTGCCTCCAACTAAGCTCTAGGCTGAGCTCCACAAAGGCTGAAACTATCTGTTTTGCCTCATTCACATCCAGTTCCCCCCTCACTGCCTAGCAAGTAGAAGCCCCCAACAAATGTTGCATACCTAACTAAAGGAATGAACAAGGCAATGGATTTTGGGGAAGCTTCATCGAGAGGTTTTGACCATCTCCCTATTCCTAAAGATATTGTTTGTACAGGTTGTTGTTGCTTTTTGTTTAATTCAATTTGTGATTAACTCAGTTTGGGAGATGAGCAAAGCAGAATGAATGACAACTTTGTTTATGTGAAGGAAGTCCCATTTTAAGAAAAAAAAATTTTGAAATATGATTTTTTTTTTTTGCAAAAAATCCTGTCCTCAAGTTTTAGTTCCTAGAGTTACTAAAAGTTAGTAACACTACTAACAATAGTTACTAACTAGTAATATGTTACTATTATTACTAACTGGTAATACTAGTAACACTAATAGAACAAAGAGTTGAGTGAATAAAACTAACTAGTAATGATGACAGTGGTGGCCCATCTAGAGCAGCTGCTGTAGGACACCAGCTACAGCGGGGAAAGGGCAGCCAAGGTGTGTGCCACATGGAGCAAGCTGGGGCGGGGAGCAGGCAGGAGCCTGCCCTCCCCGGACAGCTGCAGCCACCTAAGCCACGGCTATGGACCACGACCTGGGCATCTGTGCACTCTTGGGGGTCCTGGGAAGGCCCTGCCTGCCCCTAAGGCTCAGAACTGTCTGCTCCTGCTGCCTGGCCTGCCCCGGCACCCCTCCAATCTCGGAGCAAGGTTGGGGCCACGCCCGGGTGCTGTCGCAGCCTGGTCAAGTGTGCGCACACTCAGGGCAGCAGTGCCATGCCAGCCCCCTGCCACCTCCACCCCCTCTGGATTTTGGGTGCCAACAAGCACAGGAGAGAGGCTGAGGTGGGGCTGAGGGCAGCTCGGCACTGGCCTGCAGGTGCCCCACCTCTCGAACAGCCTGGACGCCGTGAACCGCAGCAAGAGGCAGACAGGCTCCTGGGTGGAAGGCACAGGTACCAGGTGAAGCCCCACCTTCAAGCCAGGGAGGACCTGAAGCCTTGGGGCCAGGCTGCTGGTCCCACAAACCAGAGTGGGAACTTGTGGTGCCTTTTCCAGGCCCCACCCGTGGTCACTTATGGACCAGTCGGCACAATGGGATTCTTGGGGTGTCGTTCACCAGGCCAACTTGGCAGAATGAGTCCAGAGGGTCCAAGCAAAACTCAGGCAAAGGCACCACGGGCCACAGAGGTTTCTGGCTGGTGAAGCGGCACCCCAAGAATCCCATGACAGTAACTCTAGTTAGTAGTGTTACTAACAAGTTAATGTTACTAATTAGCATTACTAGTTAGTTTTATTCACTAGTAACACTAACTAGTAGAACAAACTTTTGAGTGAATAATAAAAATAGGCCCTCACTAGCAATGACCAGGCCTCAAAAGTATACAAACCAATATAAGTTTCTGCATCTGATGAAGCGACTTTTGTGTGGAGTATGGGCAGGGGGAAAAGGACAAATGAGGAGACATGGGAGAGAAATACTTAGAAGAACCAACCCAGTAAGATGAATGCGTACCCATTCTTACTAAGTCTTATCTTAGATTTGGCTTAAGTAAGGTAAGATTTAGTTAGAATGGGCACACATTCATCTTACTTGGTTGAAGTTTCAAACCCCATCTCAACTCCGAGGATTTTCTTTTTTTAAAGGTTGCTGAAGTTGTGGGTCCAGAAACTGTCAAGCCATGGTCTGAAAGAAGCCACAGACATGGTTATCACCAGCTACTTTCATTCTAAGAGAAGGATACCTGGACCATGAGAGTATCTTACCTCATGGCCAAGGGCGGAAGATTAGGGAGGAGAGGCAGTTGACTACTTCAAGAAAGCAAGATCCTGTCCTTTTTTAAGACCCTAGTATTAAGGGCTAAATTCTATCAGCCCCTGGTAAGTAGTGAGACAGGCTAATAGCCATATCTTAGATTCTTAGCTGACGCAGGAGATATCTGACATTCCTCCAAGTGGAATACAAGCTATACTATGAGCACAGAAGAACCCAGAATAAGTCATGCAGCCCATGAAAGACACTGATTGCTCAAGTAAGTTGACTCTCACTCCAGTCTCAAGGAGGCATGGCACAGCTTTTACCTGCACAAAGTGGACGTTTGCTCAGGCAGCATCTCTGTGAGCCTTATCTCAGTGTCTCCCTGGGCCAAACAAGACAAGGAGCCTCCCAAGTTTGCACCAGGTCTCTCTGTAAGGTGTCTTGCCTGTGTCTCCCCATCTCTGCTTCTTGCATTCTACTTTGTAGTCTCAGCTGGCTTTCTCTACCTATCTCTTTTGGTATCTCTCTAATCTATCTCTTTAAGTCTAGGCACTAGTGGGCACTCAGGAAATCTTTGTTGGATGAATGTTCACATCATTAGTTTAGTAATTAGGGCTAGCTAAAAAATTTGCCAGGCCCAGTCCAAAATGAAAATATGGAATCTCTCCTTCAAAAGACAGGAAAAAGGGGGCTGTTGAAGGCAGTAAGATCAAATGGTTTTTTTTTTTTTTCTTCCACAACTTCTCTCTTACCTCATCATTGTGTTTTTTAATTTGCTGTTCAATGTGTTCTAAGTAAAGAAAAAATAAAAATTTAAATTTTATTAGCATTAATTTTGCCATTTATCTTTATATCATGCAATGACAATTTGAAATGCAAATATAAGAACATTTTGCTCATATGAGGAGTCATTGAAATTACTGAAAATTATTTTGCTCTTATGAGGAGTCACTGAAAATACAATTTGTATTGCATAACTTGTATAAGCATTTGTATATTGTTTTTTACTGACACAGTTGAAATGCTGCACAAAACTAACTCAACAGTTTTTATGTCACTCCTTGTTACAATTCTACCAACACTCTCTCCCTTCTTCTTACTGATGATTAACGATGAGTAAAGAAAAAGGAGGGTGCATTGTCCTATCTTTCCATTCCTTCCGTGTCATCATTTTCAGCTTAATACAGGGAAGTATGTGAGTAAGAAAAGACATAATGGGATTCCTTGGTCTTTTATGTTTGTTTGAACACCATTGCCTGTCCCTAAGAATTATAGTGAGGACCCTGTGTGCATTTTCTCTAATGCTGTGTATGTGCACAGTGTATTAGCAATTGGATCAGCCCTGAAACTGACATCAAAGTCTAGGCCAACTGAATTGTTTTCACATAGCCCACATAAATACCTTCATTTTCTTAGCTTATAAGATTGTGTCTTATAAGGTAAGCCACATATATATTGTGGCTAGCGATAAACTGAAGAAAGACAAAGAGGGAAATACACAACAAGGGATTTCTGAGGCCAGTTTTTATTCATCTATTTCTAGTCCCAAGGGTTTAAAGCAGATTAAACACAAACAAAGTTCCTGACCGTTGTGGCTCTATGGGGTCCACAGGGTTCATTTCCCTTACCACCAAGATAATTCAATTCAACAAATATTATTGAATTTTACCATATGCTTGTTGTGACAATGCCAAGACCAGCTACAGAGGCAGGGAAGATACTGAAAGCTGCCTGGAGATCAAGCTTTTCTTCCTGGGAAACACAGATATTTAGCAAAATGGAATGAAGGGCTTCTGAAAGATGAAAAAACAGATTCTGGACAGGAGACTAGAGAGATCCTGTATAGGAATATGTCCCCATCTTCAGTGTATGCACAATTACACAATTCCTCACCCTGAAACTGGTTGTGTTCATGCCCCTTACAAGATAAATTACAGCAAGAAAGGGAACCTAGGGGCAGATTAAGAGAGCCTTGGCTTTCTGCTTCTTGTACTCATTGAAGTTAGGGATGTTACATCAGGAAGAGCTGGCAAGAGATTCTAGAAGGACTTCTATGATTTTGCTTCAGGAGCAGGTACTGAGATGAAGTGGCTCTGCCAATCTAAGTGCAAAAAAAAAAAAAGATGTTTTTAGATTAATGGTAAACCTAATCTTGATGTGTCTGTGTTCTAAGAGTGAATACAAAAATAAAAAAATGGTTTATTCATCCGTTTATTCCAGACATATTTTATGAACACCTATTTTATATGTCAGGCACTGAACTGGGCGTTGCAAAAACAAAAAACCCAATAAGACATTGGTTTTTCCCAGAGGATACTCTTAGTCTAGTAGGTGAGACATTTACATAAAAAGCAAATAAAATGCCATGTGACAAATGTAGAGAGCTAGTTATGGCTACTATGGGACAGCTTACGGGCTGGCAACAAACCCAGTGCTCAGGAATTCAGTAGCTCTGCTATGAAATGAATGTGCCTTCCTTAAATTCATATGCTCAAATCCTAATCCCCAATGTGATGGGATTAGGAGGTGAAGCCTTTGGTATGTGCTTAGATCATAAGGACAGAACCCTTATTAATGGGATTAGTGCCCTTATTAACAAACCCCAAGTAGCTTTCTTTCCCTTTCTTCCATGTGAGGACCCAGCAAGAATATGGCCACCTAGGAGCCAGGTAAAACATGTTTATTACCTAAAGGTGTTGAAAGCTTTCTGGCATTAATTTAAGCACAATTTTTTTAAATTGTGCTCACTAGATAACAAATCCACCAGTGCTTTGATCCAGGACTTTCAGTCTCCAGAACTGTGAGAAAAAAACTTCTTTTTTTATGTTACCCAGTCTATGATAGTTTTTACAGCAGCCCAAACTGACAAAGACAAGCAAGCTCCTTGCACAGAAAGGCTCCTTAAAAAATATTTAGTAAATGCACGAATGAGTGAGTAAATGAAAACGAGACATCCTAGAGTAGCTAGTAGATAAAGCTAGTCTTAAAAATTTATTAGGCATTATCAAGATTGTTTCAGGAGGAAAGAAAAAGTGCAAAATCTCAAGTGCAGAAGGCAGCAAGGCATGTCCAGGAAAATCCAAAGAGATAAGTGTGGCCAGACTGTAGGGTGTGCAAAAGGGAGCAGTGAGCAATGTGCATGAGGAAGTAAGCAAGAGTCAGTTATGGAGGAGCTTCCTAAGTCATACTGGCGTATGAGACTTTACAGAAAGGGCAATGTGGAGCCCCTAAAACAGTAGAAGGAGGAAAACGGTGTGATTGGTTTGTGTATTAGGAAGCTAATTCTGGCTGCAGTGTTAACTATAGATTGCAGACAGCTAGTCTATGAATACAGTGATGCTAGCTGAGCCTTGCCATAATCCAGATTGTCATCAGCAATAATGACCACTGATGGAGGTGGTAGTGGAGATGGAGAGAAGTGAAAATGTTCAAGGGATATTAAAAAGTACAAACATAAGGGTTCTGATGATTGGGTATTGGAATGTGAACAAAGCAAGAGTCAGATTTCAGATTTGGGCAGGTAGTCAATGGTGGCACCATTTTCTGAAATAAGAATCCACCATTGCCCCTCAAAAAAGAATCTGGTTTAAGGAGATGGGAGATGCTGGGAATATGATGGATTTGAGGTTGCTAAGGAAAATGCATGCTGAACTACTGAGTATTTTGTCAGTTATATAAGTCAAGAGCTATGGAATTTGGGGCTAGAAAAATATTTAGATAATTTCATATATATTTAAAGTTGTGTAATTAGAAAAGCCCACCTAGGTGGATTGGACAGCAAAAACCAAAGAGGCTAGCAAATAGAATACCGACACAAATACAATGGAGCAAATGAAAATCTGAAAGGAAATAAAGAGGAAGTTTACCCAAAGAGTGTAATGTCACAGAAACCAAGGAAGAGAGTATTTCAAGGAGGAAGACAACAACAAGGTGAAATATGCAGTGAGGACAAGTAGGATAAGAATGTATACATGTTCAAGTGGATTTGGGAGGAAGAAGATCACACATCACCTTGGTCAGAGGACTTTTAGCTCATTACCTGGAGTGGCATGCATGGATACACCCATGTGCTACCTCCAGCACTGGGTGCAATATCCGGGTCCATCTACCAACCAGCATCATCTAATAGTCAGCCAAATATGAGCTCTGCCTCCAACATCTGAGCTTGGCAGGATCCCACCACCATCTGTGAAATCATAGGGTCTATGTGCACACTGGGCACTTGGAAAAACATGTGTATTACCTAAAGGTGTTGAAAGCTTTCTGGAGTTTACTTAAGCATAATTTTTTAATTGTCTTTTCAGTAGCTAGCAGACAGGAGAACAAATTTGTCTTAAACATCCTGAGTTTATAGGCTTCCCAGTCCTCGGCAGCTGCAACTGGCAAATGTAGTTTCTAGAAATGGGAGATGAGGGAGATTGCCTGCTTTTCACTGTTGGAAGTTGAGAGGCAGCGATGGAAAACTTACAAAGTGGCATCTCTCAGCAGATATTTCAGTTGTTAATATGCATGGTTGGAAGGTTGCAGCTTTCTAATTTGAGAGAGGTCTGTCAATATTAATACCGGACTCCAGGAATAAGCGGGGAAACCTGGGCATCTGTGTTATACTGAATATTCACACACTTTCAGAGTTTCTTCTAATTCATAAGATCAGTTTTCTATGTTTCTTTTCCTTCACATTTATATAGTAGGGGCGAATGTTGCACATGAAACAATCATAGGGTCAAGGGGTCTTCGCAGCTAAGCCTTTAGGTATCAGCTACCCGTGCAATTTTTCTCACCTTCCCAGCTTCTTTCTTGGCTTTCTGGATCTCTGCCTTATGCTTTCTCTCTGTCCATTTCTCTTTCTCTCTCCATCCATTCTCTCTCTCTTCTTACCTTGTTCCTCCTCCCTTTCCCCTTCCCTCCCTCCATTCAATCTTCCCTTTTTTCCTCCCATTCTTTCCCATTTAACACATTTACCTTTCCTCCTCTCTGTTCATCTCTCTCTCTCCCCAGCCCCCACTTTCTTCCTTTCCTCGCTGTCTCCCCATCTCCCCTTCAGGGTAAGATAGCTACACAGGAAGAAGTGGAAGACAAAGTCATACTTAACACTGTTTATATAAAGTCTAAAATGCATATTAAAAACTTCTTAGACCTGGAACCAGGAAACATTGAAAAGAAACAATAGATCTGCCTAAGAAATGTGGAACAATAAACCACCTACTCTGTTATGAGAGAGTGCAGTGGACATTGAGCCAGAGAAAACTATCATCAATTGCTAAGAGTGGCATATAATGAGGTAGAAATGTCAAAAGTCCCTGAATCAAAAAAAATTCTAAGATCAGAGTTCCCAAAACTCATAGAAAGTACCAAATACAGCAAGACAAATAAGATCTGTGAATAACGCAGGGAAAATATAGAAGATGAGAAAAGAAAAAGATGAAGCCAGCTTGAAAGGTAATATGATGTCATACAGGCTTAGCTAGAGTCGCTTGAACAGAACAAAAAAAGGAAGATGAGCTAAGGAATTAAAAATGATGAGCCACCTCAAATGAAGGCCGAGAGAGGAAATCATAACCCAAGACAGACATTTGTGTGGTCATTGGTGTCTACACTAGTTAATTAAATACCTAACTGTCATCTGCTTCATAATTTAACCTCCTCCATGGGCAGAAAGTTCTGGCTATGAAATGGGTTCTTGTTTCCTACTAATGTAAATTACCACTGTGACCACAACACAGCTTCTTAGAGCCCAGACAAAGCTGAACGCCCAATCATGTGCTTTTTTTTTTCCTTCAAAGCTACCATATCCATGGATTGCATGTCTGTAAAATCCCATTATGGCCCCAGATTTTCTATGTTAGAATATGTTTTCCGTAGAGTTTACCTCTAAATGTTGAACCTGAAGAGGGAGATAGATAGCCATGTGAAACTCCTATATACATACAGCCAGCAGCAAAGAAAGATAAAATATTGGTGGGGACAATCAATTTGTGTCTAAGATGGTTTGCAGTTAACAGCTCTTGGCACTCGTTTTGATACTTTATTTTCTCCCTGATCTATCTATGAAGGTTAGATTTTATTGGAGTGATTCTAATTCCTCACAATTTGTCCATGCCGTCTTGGTGAGTAGAGTGTACTTTCCAGCCACTTGACTTTAAGCCTAATTAAGTGACTTATGTTGGCCAACACAATGTTAGTAGATGTGGCATAAATAAAAATGTGAACGGTGCTTGCACAGTTGAACTTCCTGTCTTGTGTTTCTGTCCTTATAGATAAAAATACACCTTGGTAGCTGCTGGATTGAGGCAAATGAGAGACACATGGAGCTCATCTAGATCCAACTCTACAGCTTGAAGCTAAGCCTACCTTAGCCAAGTCTACACCAGTTTGACTTCGGTCGATTCATAGATGTTTGAGCCAGAGGTAAGGTGCTTGTTGCTGGAAGCCAGTTAAACTTTGAAGTCTTTTTGAAAAATATGTTGTCATTGCAGACATAGCTGCACATAATCTTCCACACTGTGGGAAGTCAAATTAAGCATGCTTAGACTTTAGAGCAGAATCCCATTATTAGTGTAGTGGCAAAAATGTTACAAGTGGCATAGCCCCCCAGTTTCCTTCTCCTAGCCCTCTGCCTAAGAACTAGAGTACTTAGTTTTGAAGTGGAGCCCTAATGGGAGTGTCCATCTCTCACCAGGGTTAAGCCTCTTGGCCCTTACTGAGCACTCAGAGTTGTTAGTTCCCTGGAAGATATGAAAGAGCTTCACTGGCTCTGGAGTTCTCAGTCAATAACCAACTGTAACAGACCTACCCTTCCAACAAAATCTTGATTCAGGAAATTGAGTGTCTGCTTATAGTTAATGCTCTATTTTTTTATATCTAATAGGAGAAACATTTTCAAAAGAGCCATGACCTGACTCAGTTAATGTGCAAGGAAAGGCAAGCAGGTCCAGACTTTTCAGTTTATCCATCATCCCTTATCCAAAATTTCCAACTCTCTTGGAATTATTTTGTTCTTCATACTTGCCCAACAAATATCTCACTCTTGTTTTGGACCTTCTTTTGTAGTTATCTCACATAAGCTCCTTTTGACTAAGGTCACGTATTTGGAATCAGACTACCCAAGTTCAACTCCTGGGTCTACCATTTATTAGCTTGTATTACTTTGGGCAAGATAATTAAATTCTCCAGGTTTAAGTTCCCCCATTATAACATAATAATAGTTATTATCTGCTAGGGTTGTCTTGAGAATTAAATGAGATAATTCATAAGAACCCTTTAACACAGTGCCAGCCACATAATGAAGGCATAGTAAGAGAAAAGTATTACACTGTTGATAATACTTGTCTAGGCAGGGCTCTTAGATTTTTCTCTGTATCCCTTACTGTGCAATTCATCTGTCCCCTAACATTCTAAGATTGTTTTAGAGTGAGTTGCTTCAGAGTTGAATAATTATAATGGTATATTCTCACATTTATAAACAACTTGGAATTCCATTTAGTGTTGACATTGACAAGGAAATGTCTATGAGTAATTTCTGCAATTTTTTATTCATTATGGAGAGACAAAATGGGTATAATGGTGAGAAGAATTAGGTAGGAGGTCTGGAAAGAGATTGAGTTTAAATGCTTACTATGCTGAGTAATAATGGTAATGAATAATGGTATGATCTTAAGAAATCTAAGCTTTAGTTTTTCCCATCTTAAAGACAAAGTTGTCATTAGTATTTCATAATGTAGGGTAGTATATAAACTTCCTGGCATGTAGCAACTGCTCAATAAATAGAAGTTATAGTTTTTTCTAAACTTGATAAAGAGCCAAGGGAAAAATAAAGATTTTGCAGCTAAAGCCATTTCTTTTTCTCTGTTATGTACCTATCTATTCCAGAAACAGAATTAATTCCCTAAACCTCATCAAAGGAAGGATTTGAACACTAAAAAAAAATAATCAATCTCTTTGGGTTTGTTATTGCTTGTTTTCACATACCTCAGAGGCATTAATACAAACCTTTATAATGTCATCAGAAAGAAGAGAAGTCAAACACTCCTTAATAATTGCAAGGTTATTATTTTGCAAGGAATCGAGTCAAAATTCCATTGACATGAGGACTGTAACTTTTTCATTACTCCTTAAGGCAAGATGTCCTTGAATTAAGTAGTTCATGTAGAAACTTGTTACAAGTCCTTAGCGGAGAGACTGTACTGGAAATATAGGATCTACTTAAGGGTTTGAGCTTCCCCACCCACTTACTTTAGAGTGACAATTCACACCTATAAAAACACAAAAGTACAGGGGTTTGTTAAACACTAGAAGACCCAAAGAGCCAAGACTTATGCCTGTAAAAGTGGTGCTTCCTAAGGGGAAGACATGGAATTTCTCAGAGAATACAGCCTGTCTTGACCAAGGGACTGTACAAGGAAGATTAGGAGGTAACTACTGGGGTAAAAGAGGGACAGTTGCATCTTTCTGGAACACTCTAATAAAACTGTAAGTTTTACTAACTTCTTCTTTCATATGATAGAAGCGTCAAATTTGATACTTAAAGTCGTAATATCCCGTAAGTACTGCTCAGGAACACCTGTTTAGTCCTACTACAAAACTTGAAGAAAAGGTCTCCTTTCCTAATGCTGTACCAGTCCTCTCCTCACAGATGACTTGGGAAAGAAATTCTGTTGGCCAGATTCCACAAGTATAAGATGATAAGAGACCAACTTCTTTATTCCTCTGCTCTTCATTTGTCCTCCCACCTCAATTGCTTTGGGAAAATAACATAGTCTGGAACAGAAAAAAAGGAGCCTTGTTGTACTTCATTTGCCTGAAGAGACTACTTTCAGAGAAAATTATAGTCAAAATTATTTCAAGTTTTAGGGCCATACTGAATATATAAGGGTGCTATTGCTTAATCTCTGTGCTCTTATCTTGGTGTGGCAAAGCTCATTGGGGCTATATTGAAAGTAGCCTGAAACCAATTGGTCAGATGCTGCTGGCAGGAGGAGCCCCCAGGGGGATCAAGGACATGGATGACACAGTGAGTGTAATTATTAGTCAAGATAGGCTAGGTTAGGCGTTAGTGGCAAATTATCTCAGTGGCTTAGTACAATAAAGGCTTATTGCTTATCCATGTGGCATGTCTACTGCAGGTCCACAAGGCCTCTGTTCCACTCACAGATCCAGATTTTAACATTCTTTGCCATCTCATAGCTAATGATCTAAACATCAGCAGAAGGAAGGTGTCTTGGGTCAGGCTACCTGGAAAACAGATCAAGTTAAAGATTTCTGTGCAGAAAGGTTTTTAGGGAGGGAACTCTGATTGACATCTGCCAGGGAGAGAGCAAAAACAGCTGAGCAGACAACTGTTGAACTGTTACTACTGGTAACAACAAAGGTCTTGGCCAACCCAGCAGGGAATGCTGGAGTTCAAAATGGTTCTCCACAGGCGTTTCACCTTAAGGCAAGGGATTGGGCCTTTATTATCCCCTATCAACCAGTCCTTTGATTGGCTTGACCCCAGAGAGAGGTTATAACCTTGAGTAAAGTGTCTCTGTCTACTGAGGATAATTCGAGGAGAGCAACTAAGCTGAGAGTTGTCAGCAATGGGAGGAATCAGAGGCTCAGTCCTGAAAAGCAGGTCTGAGCAGGATAAAATAGCATCCACTACAAAGGGGAAAGTGCATGCACTTTTCACTGCCTCCACTTGGGAGAGAGACATGCCATTTTCTGCTCTCATTTCAATGACCAAAAGGAGTCACATGATTCTATCTAATTTCAAAGAATCTGGGAAGTGTGGGGAAAGTAACTGGACTATTTGGGAAGGATCATTATTTCTGCCACAATGGAGAAGAGATGTCCCTTTGGAGCTACTCATTTCTGTTTTCAGTGGTGTAATGTCTTTTAGTCATGGTCATGATACAGGTTCTGTTTTGCATTTGGCATCCAATGACTTTGTCATCCCATGTCTGGTTTCTGCCTGCTTTTCCTGAAGATTGCTTAGCCTCCTTTCCTTCCATCTACAAGATCAGATCCTTCTCCCAAGCTCTTGTCCTAGTCTTGTCTAGGCATCAAGTCAAACTTCCTAGTGCTTTTTTTTTCTCTTCTGGAGGTCCAGTTCAAACAAAACCAAAACCAAAAGTAAAACAGGCCCGTTCTCTAGTCCTGACTGAACACTTCTTATACCATAGTTTCTCCCAAACTAAGGCTTTTCTCCATCAGTCCTCTCTGTTAATCAGAGTACTGAACTCTGCATTATCCTAGTAGGTCCTATTACATGACATTCACTTCTTTTCAAATTGTCTACCCTTATCCTTCACATTATCATGATCAATATCCTTATCTGGACAACTGCCAGCTGCCTTTTGTTCGATCTTCTAGACTGTTCTCTCTAACCACCCACCTGGTTGAATTTCTGGTACCTGAAAACCCTGAAGCGCTGGGACTAAGCCAAGACCACTAAACTGAGATAAAAAGAAAGAACTACCTTCTCAGCCTTAAAATTCTTTGAAAGTACATTTTCTGTGATCAGCTATTTTTTTTCTCTTTTAATCATTTGGCTCTTTCTTGCTGTCAGTGTACATACACATCACTTTTCATCATTAGGGAGTCATCACATACTTCATCGAGACAGTACTCTGTATTTCAAAGACCTAGACCAATTATAATTAAAGCAAGGTATAGATCACTGCATACATGGTATTAGTCTTTGGACACTCAGTAGCTATTGACCTACTTTAATAATTGACTGAGACTATTGATTCTTTAAATATAACTACATGTTTCTATCTTAGTGGAACCAATTACAGTTTATAAGTCTATTGAAGAATAGCTGACTTCTCAAAATTTGACTTATTCTATCTCAGGGACTCAGAAGATAACTAATGACAGCTAAATGACTTCTGACCCATGTCTGAGTGAGGCTAGGCTGCTACCTGAGTCCAACTTCAACATTCTGTGACAATTTGCAGTGAAATAGTACCTAGAGGAGGAGAGAGAGCTTGAGAAAAGCAGAAAATGCTGATGAAACAAGCCATTGTTGTGAATTGGCAATTACTGCCTATTTAGTCCAGACTTCACAAACAGACAGCTGGCTACGGACACATATTTTTGTTATTAGGTGACAATTTTTGAAATTGGAAGATTTTACTTAAAAATTTGTATTCCAAGTGTGAACTGAAAAGGCGGACCTGACAAGACCAAGTCCTCCTTCCTTGTGGCAGTAATTCATGGGGGCCAAATAGTGGAGGGTCCCCTTCAAATGGACAAGAGGATGCCCATTCTCCAGATCACCAGAGCCCCACTATTTCCCTTTGTTAGAGACGGAATTGCATTCCTCCAAAATTCATATGTTGAAGTCCTAGTCCCAACATAACTGTATTTGGAAATAGAGATTTTAAAGAGGCAATTAAGGTTAAATGAGGCCATTAGGGTAGGGACCTAATCCAGTCTGACTAATGCCCTCTCAAAAAAGAGGAAGTGATGGTAAGGGTGCTTGCACACAGAGAAAGTCATGGGAGAACACAGTGAGAAGATAGCCAGCTGCAAGCCGAGGAGGGAGGCTGCAGGGAAAACCAAACCCACCCACACTTTGATCTTGGGCTTCCAACTTCCAGAACTGTAATATTTCTATTTAAGCTCCCCAGTCTGTGGTATTTTGTTATGGCAGCCTTGGCAGGCTAATATATCCACTGTGTCCTCAACATCTATCACCATGCCTGTGCTTTAGGGTTTTTCTCCTATACCCTGATCCTTTCACTCATTACCTGCCTGAGTACAGAATGAATTTGAGTTTGTCACCCATGGTATCACTTTCACCAACAATAAGCTGCAGATTGCTCTGCAGTTTAAAAAAAAATGACTTTGGAGAAACATATTAAGGTAGATAAAATGAAACCAGATTAAATATTTAGGTGAAAACAGTTTCTACTAAGGTAGATATTTTTTACCCTAAACAGACCACCATGAACAAAATTTTAGCAGTAAATTAGTCCAGTCACTGTGGGGAGCAGTCTGTAGATTTCTCAAAGTACTAAGTATTGAACTACCATTTGACCCAGCAATCCCATTACTAGGTATAAACTCAAAGGGAAAGAAATTATCCTTGCAAGAGGATGCATGTACCCCTGTGTTCACTGCAACACTATTCACAACAGCAAAATCATGGAATCAACCCAGGTGCCCAACAATGGTGAATTGGATGAAAAAAATGTAATGCATCTATACCATGACATACTATGCAGCCATAAAAAAGAATGAAATCATATTCTTTGCAGCAACATGGATGCAGCTGGAGGCCATTATCCTAAGCAAATATATGCAGAAACAGAAAAATAAAATAAATAAATAAATAAAAATAAATCATATATATACGATCAATCGTACCCCAAACTGCACCATCACGTGGTATACCTTTGTAACAAACCTACACATGTACCCCCAATCTAAAACAAAAGCTGAAAAAGAAAAAATAATTGAAAAATAAAAGTTATGCACCAAATGTTACCAACCGTTATTTCAAGAAAGCGGAAATCTGAGTTGTTTTAATATTCACTTTTGCTTCTATATGTTCTACTTTTTTCTATAATGGCCACGCATTATTTGTAAAACGGAAGTAAAAATGAACCTTAAAAAACAGATTTTTAAAAAAAAATTGTACCAAATGTCAGGTTAAGAAGAATACGGTGGTTAAGATCACTGATTGTGAAGCAAAAAGAAAAGAACATTCTGAGTTCGCTCCTTGTCTGTGCTCCATTTCCTTACTCTAAAATGAAGACAGTGATGTACGGATGCATACAATATACACCAAGTGCAGAGTACAGGGCCTGGAACAAATACAACTGAAGTAATGAGACATATTTGTTCCATTGGGATTCTAGGATACTTTGAGCTACACATAACAAAAATTTCAGTTCAAGTTATCCTAAGCAATAAAGAATTGACTCAATTTAACAACTGGGAATTCAAAATTATGGTGTGTTTTGCAGTTGACTTGCCCTCGTAGCCCCAGTTGTCTGTTTTTCAATAGCTGTTTTAGATCTGTTTCTTACTATAGACCCACTCCATCCTCAGGCGGGTAGCTAAATGGCTGCTGCAGTGCTGGGCTTCACAATGTGGAAACACATGTATTTTCCTATACCTGCATCCTTTTCCAGAAGTACCCACCAGCTTACCTTTATACCCCATTGAATCAAATGCCCATGCCATTTCCTTGTTGTTAGAGAAGTGTCATGATCTGATTGGCTTAGCCATGGGTTCCTAAACCCATCATTATAAAGGAGAATAGTACAATGAAGATTAAAATAATCAAATGTCACTTCTAGAGTTCTGATTGGTTAGGTTACCCTGAGACACATGGGCTACTTGGTGGAAGTGTGAGATATGTGAACAAAATAAAGACCCTTTTACGGCATACGAGAAAAGCTGTGTAGACAACCAACAATGACTACTATATGAATATTTTCATTAGTAAAAGAAAGAGAATTCAGCCTGGGTGCAGTGGTTCATGCCTGTAATCCCAGCACTTTGGGAGGCCGAGGCAGGCAGATCACCTCAGGTCAGGAGTTCGAGACCAGCCTGGCCAACATGATGAAACCCCATCTCTACTAAAAATACAAAAATTAGCCAGGCATGGTGGCACGTGCCTGTAACCCCAGCTACTCAGAAGACTGAGGCAGGAAAATAACTTGAACGCAGGAGGCGAATGTTGTAGTGAGCTGAGATCACACCACTGCACTCCAGCCTGGGACAAAGAGCCAGACCATGTATCAAAAAAAAAAGAGAGGAAGGAGGGAGGGAAGGAGAAAGGAAAGGAAAGGAAAGGAAAGGAAAGGAAAGGAAAGGAAAGGAAAGGAAAGGAAAGGAAAGGAAAAAGAGAATTTAGGCCTGACACATTGGCTCATACCTGTAATCCCAGCACTTTTGGAGGCTAAGGCAGGTGGATCACTTGAGCCCAGGAATTCACATTTTAGAATGATGAAAAGAATCAGAAGCTTGAAGTGCAAAAACATTGAAATTTCCAAGACCTTCCCTTTGTCACTATGAGCAAGAGCCCTGACGTTGGTATTCTTAACAAGCTCCTCAGGGGATTCTGAGGCATAACCTTTATAGGGCGAATAGACTGCCAGTGAAGTCTATATTCAGTTAGCAGAGCTCAGACAGGGGTAACCTGGGAGGATATCCCAGGATGCATGAGTGTAAACAGGTGGTCTATCAAATGCTACATTTGCCAATAACTTTGCAGAATTCAAAAACATCTCAGCAGGTCTTCAAAAGTTTTATAATTACCTATGTCAGCCAAGAAGATTTAGAGAAATAGAACATACCCTACCAAGAGTTGTCACAAGAGATCTTGCCTTCTTCTTTTAATCCTGAAATATTCCTTCCAAAGACATTTTCCTAACATCAAGACACCTTTGTTAATTGCTGCTACACTTTATTAATTTAGTTCATCAATCAGTGAATCAGTCAACAAATATAATTAATTCCTTCTCTTTGCCAGGCACTTTAATAGGTGCTGCCAAAAAAAAAAAAAAATGACTATTTGACCCTTCTCTTTGAAGAAATCAGAGTCCAGTGGAGACAGATAAATAAGGTAATGATTTAAAAAGAGTGGATTCGTAGTTTAGTTTAAAGAAACAGAAGAAAGAGAAGATGAACCCCAACTTAAAAACTGGAATAGGTGTGTCTTGGAGAAAATAATACTCCCTGTGGTTAATAATAGCCTGGCTCTTCCTGGAAGTCCCCAGTCCACTTTTTCTCCCTCTTTCTTTAGGTAATCAGAGTACAAGACAAGGGGGTATGATGACTGTGGCAGAGAGCTCTGTAATTTTCTACATTCATCTTGATGAGTAACTATTTTTCAAAATTCACTGCAGTTTAAATTTCTGAGGCCAAGAAAAGTCAGAAGGAACCAATATCTGGTTACCTTTGGTTATCTTGCCTTCCCAAAGGGAAAAGCTGTAGCTCTTCAATTTCAGTAAATACAGAAAGAAAAACAGACTTCTCCTCCTGAGACATTTATTTAACCAAAAATATTTGGAAGATGGTGTTACCTTGATGCTTTGATAGGAAATGCTTGGAATAAATTTTATTGTCATATCTGTCATGATAGAATAAAATTGAACAGCAGCTAGAAGCTAAGGAACTCTAGTTGATGGTGGTACAGAAATTTTTTCTACTATTTTATAACTTTGTTAAGTCTGAAATTATTTCAGAATTAAATTTTTTTTAAATGCCAAGGAAAGAGAAGAACAGAGAGGAAGAAGGAACCAGGATTTCACCAGGGTAGGAAGAAGAGCAAAAGGAAGTAATGAAACAGGAAATGTTAGGTAAAGGTAGAGGGAGACATAAACCCATGTGGTATATCCGAGTAACTACAAGTAGTTCAAAAGGCTGGAATATGAGATATCTGAGGCAGAGGGGACAGGAAAGAGACTAGACAAATGTGGAACAAAGGAGGCCATATCATAGAGGAACTTGTACACCATATCAAGGTTTTTTGCTCACATGTTATAGGATTTCCAACCCCACTGAAGGATTTGGAACATGAAAGTGACTTGATTACATTTGCATTTTACAAAGGTCATAGGTGTCAATATGAAGAATGGATTAGAGAAAGGTGAAGCTGAAGATGAGAAAACCAATAAAAAGTTGATTTAAACAGTCCAATAAAAGACTATGTAGAAAGAGAAAATCGTAAACCCACCCAAACTTTGATTTGAACTTGATTAAAATTGCAGTTGAAGCCACAAAGCACATAACGCAATGACATTTTATGAAAACTCTCAAAAGGAAGGAAAGTTGTTGGCATGAGAGTCTTTGAGACTGCAAAGCACGAGGCTAGACATCTATGCTCCATTTTAAGAATAGGGAAAAAGCTAAGAAATATTTGCAAGCTCATTTCCACAAAAGAATGATGAACAAATAATTAGTCAGGTATATTGAAAAGTTAAACTTATAGTACTTCATATATTATTGTTATAAACTTGAGATTCTTCCCAGTTAGCTAAAAGAGGGACAAGGATTTCCTATAATATTTTGCTTTCTAACCGGAAAGATACTGTTTCATCCTATGAAATATAATTCTTAATTTTAAGGTTACTGCAAGCTTCTTTACTACTTTTGTGATCATATGTTTTTGATCACTATTTTTTGTTATAGGAAGTTGTGTTTGCTAGATTATATTTGTTATAGAAATCAAGTTTATTCCCTACAATTGAACACTAACTTACTTCTGTAAATTTTCCACTACATGATAGGCATGAATTCAGTTGCTGGTTGGAGAGTATTGATTGTTGCTGTTGGTTTTCTCCCTATAGACCTGTTTTAGAAAAGCACCAATGCATAATTCCAAGAC